TCTTCTCACCCATACATAAACACAGAGCTTACGGTTAAATAAGGAAACTTCCACAATGAGGCTCTAAATAAAACACCAACTTCCTGCATTCCATAAGTGACTGCAGGGCATGTGGTCTTTTAAAGGCTGTTCTCTGAATGGAAGATGAGTGAAGAGATTCTGGCCCCTCCAAAGCTCTCTCAGAGACTGAGCTGAGAGGGTCACACTAGGTCACATGTCTCAGGAACAAGAGGAGCTGTCTGTAGAAGAGTGTGAAAATCACAAACCTCCTCCGCCTTCCAGGCCTGTTGCTAGGCTACAGAGAGGAAGTGGTGCGTTGTGCTTTTTTTTTTTTTTTCGCACTGGCACCCTGTTTCTACCGTTAAGCGGTACAAACATACACCAGGCTTGCAGTGACAAATGACTTCCTGATCCTGATTGTACAATAATAACTGTTCCGTTTTCACGACTTCTACATAGATAGATACATAGATAGATAGATAGATTAAGGCATAAAACATTCATTTAATCTATCTTTTAAGTAATGAAAATTAAACATTTAATTTTAATTTAATATTACATTTAAAACATTGAAGAAATATTGAATGCTTATTCCTTAAAAATAAGGTTTTAATAATTTTAGTAGTAGCAGTCTGTTACGTACATTCTACTCAACAATAGTAATATATTTCTGCCAATGACCTCAAGTTAAACCGAACGTTTACTTTGACGGGTTGCCGTGAATACCATTACATTTCTGTGTGTATATGATATGAGGATAGTTTTACTCAGATGAAACTATCAAATGCTCATGAAGTGACTCTCAGAGCAGTTCTGGAGATGTTGTTCATGTGTTTATGTCCTCATTAGTGAGACGGCAGAGGTTAATATCACCGGAAGCGTCACGAGCGTTTCAGTACCAGTACTACATAAAAAAAAATAACTTGCCCTTCAAGGGGGGGGGGGGGGGGGGGGGGCCGGTGGGGGGGGCAGGCCGCCCCCCTAAAATAATGGCAGGGGAAACACTGTTATATATACATCTATATAGCAATAGATAGATAGATAGATAGATAGATAGATAGATATGGCTGTCATCACTGTTGTTTGCCTCCAGCAGATACCGTCTTAGTTCTCACAACTGGAGTGTTGAGTATAGCCAATAGCAGCCGTGATGATGAAACCACACAGCAATGTCTTCCTCACAGCATTTTGCAGCTACGGTTACAATGCATTACTACTGCAAGCTCTCCGATAGCCATTTACGGTCATTTCAGATATAATGGGAACAGACCTCAGTATGCATTTCAGCTGCCAGTCTAGATTAGAAGGGTTCTGTGACCGCATAGTGTGCTTATCTGTTTGGATTCTAAAAGCATTCATTCACACATAGGCTACAAAAAAATCTGCTGACGACTCTGGAAAAGCCAATCTTTTTATTATAAATTTTTTTTATAAGCATAAAGCATCCTATGACTTTGTTGAAATTGTGTTATGTAGTTTTGTTCACAACCATATTTACTATTTTTGCAGTATAGTTTATGCGTACCATGCTAAGTACAGTAAGCATATTTTTTTCTGTGTGAAACACCAAGTTTTCCTATTGCAAATGTGCAACATACAGCACAGTAAACTTTGTTTATCATATACATATTTACTTTTCCATTTCTTTTCTTTTCTTTTCCATTTCCTTTTCTTTTCATTTTCATTTTCTTTTCCATTTTCTTTTTCCTTTTCCTTTTCTTTTCTTTTCCATTTCCGTTATTTCTTTTTTCTTTTCTTTTCCATTTCTTTTCTTTTCCAATTTCCTTTCCTTTCCATTTCTTTTCTTTCCATTTCTATTTCATTAAACCAGAGGTCTCAAACTCAATTCCTGGAGGGCCACAGCTCTGCAGAGTTTAGCTCCAACCAGCTCCAAATCACACCTGCTTGGAAGTTTCTAGTAATCCTGAAGACCTTGATTTATCTGGATCAGGTGTGTTTGATTAGGGTTGGAGCTAAACTGTGCAGAGCTGTGGCCCTCCAGGGATTGAGTTTGAGACCAATGCATTAAACTGTACAACTGTTAGAAAACTCTTGCCATGAGAATAGTATCAGCTGCTGACATGGCATTAAAATCTCAACTACCTACCTACTTAAGTCAAATTTTCTTGACTAGACTGTCAAAATTTAAGTAATTTTTACATAAAAATTTGGTCAGCTTTGCTGTGTCATATAAATAACATGTACTTGCTTACTAAAATGCAAAATTGCAGTTATTTTAAAAATAAATACGTTTATCATGAAATGTAATAAGGTCATGTGACGACAGTTTGAAACGCTTTCTGTTGCATTTTGCTGACCGTTTTGCATATTGTTTCTAAAAATATTGCTCAATGTACGGCATATACGTGCAGTATGTTAATATTCCAGTCTGAGCACAGTTATATTTATCATTAATACTGCACAGTCGGCACATTTGCGTCTTGCTTTTTTCATGGCTTATGGCAATTGAGGACAGTCTTATCTTACACGTCAACGCTCCAGAAATTTTCAGTTAATCTCTGTCAAGATGGCAGATGGTTTTTCCAGTTAGCAGTCGGCCCTGTGAATCTCCTCATCAGGAGAGACGTGGAGCTGTAGGGCGCAAATCCATCACACATGCACCCGTTCACCACGTCCACACATCTGATTCATTAATATGCCAGCATAATTTATTACGATTAGTCAGATGTATTATTATGATGATTGGCTCATGTGTTCTTCTGTCACAGATGTCTTCAAATAAGCCAACATTTTTGTCTAGTCAGCATGTTTTCCAGTTCAAAAGCTTCAAAACTACCAAGCCATATCGAAAGCAACCACTCAAAACAACCTAGGAAATCCACTCAGACCACTTTATAAACTGCATAGCAATCACCTAAAACACACAGCATGGGAAGAAACACTTAAAAATGATATAACAATTAATGTGCTTTTTTTTTATGGCCGATGTCAGTATATTTGGTGTCCCAAACAAGATTTATGAGGGAACTGCAGGGTGTTTGTGAGTTAAGCTAAACTAAATCGAATGTAACATTAAAATAATCAATTGGGATTGAAATTCACGTGTACAGCTTGCAATGCCTTGTTTTCAGAGAGGCTCCATCGCTTAACATGTATTTGGAGAAACAAATGAACTTTCACGTTTGCATGATTTCCTACATTTTTGTGGACACAACTTTACAGCATTTCATTTTACTTAAATTATCGAAATATTAACTTTAAGTTACTTTAAGTAAATATTTTCCGTCCAAAAGGGTTTAGCTGACAAAAAAGGTTTTGGAACCTTTGTCTTTGAGCAGGATGGCTGATGTATAAAGTAGATGTAAATTATACTTAAAGATAGGAAATAAAACATGCTGCAATAAATTTATATTTATTTGTAATGAGGAATAAATATACCTAATATTTACTAAATTAGGAAAAAAATTTGAACTTGAAAATATAAAATAAACATTGATACTAAAGTCTTGCTTCCAACACTTCATCAGATGATGTCAATAATAAAAGACAAATATTGGTATTTTGGTCGATATATAATTGGTTGACCACTTGTAAAAATGAGTTATTACAGATGCTCAAAATAGTTATTGGATGCTCAAAATGGCATCAAGAAATGATGTGAGCCCTATTTGAACTCAGTGCACGTCACGCCATGGTTCCCACGTCTCGGTGTTTATTAAAATATGTTAAAAGTTCCCTACTCAGTGATTTTCTCATATAGCCCTGTGGTTTGTCTGGGTTTCTCCACTCGTTAATACTTTGCAGTAGCGGTTGAAGTTGTTAATGAACACTGGTGGGACTTGTATGACGCTCTTCCTCATGTCCTCTTTCTTTCCCCCCTTTTTTCATTCTTCCCCTCCTCTCTCCGAAACATCTCCTCTGCTCAGAATCAAAGCGGTGGGAGTGTGTTGGGTGAGGAGATGAAGTGTGCATAATTCATTCTGAAGAGCACACACTGGGTGATTCTGCCGTTCAGATGAATGCACTTCTGCTCCGATCTGCTGCCGTATCTCCCGCTATTGTCCCAAAACACGGAACCTGCTGAGCGTGCAGATGATCTGTGTCCACAGTGTCTGTTTCTCTCGTTTCTGGTTATGAAATCAAATTGAGCTTGGGGGAAGTGAGGAACTTAACAGGTAAACATGAGGGAACTGGGGGAGACCTGGGACAGTGATTTCCATTTCTACATTCCTTTGGTTGCATAACGCTTTTGGAGATTCGTCCAGTCCAAACAGAGTTGTCATCATGGTGGCATTGTAACACATTCACAAACACAAAATGGTACAGCCAAGAGCCTGAGATCATTCACACAGGTTTTTGGGTCTTTTTCAATCATTCTAGGAAGCGTGTGCATGTGTGTGTGCATGTGTGTGTGCGTGTGTGTGTGTGTGAGAGTGTGTGTGTGTGTGTTAGTGTGTGATTGTGTGCCTGCTGAGCGTGCAGATGATCTGTGTCCACAGTGTCTGTTTCTCTCGTTTCTGGTTATGAAATCAAATTGAGCTTGGGGGAAGTGAGGAACTTAACAGGTAAACATGAGGGAACTGGGGGAGACCTGGGACAGTGATTTCCATTTCTACATTCCTTTGGTTGCATAACGCTTTTGGAGATACGTCCAGTCCAAACAGAGTTGTCATCATGGTGGCATTGTAACACATTCACAAACACAAAATGGTACAGCCAAGAGCCCGAGATCATTCACACAGGTTTTTGGGTCTTTTTCAATCATTCTAGGAAGCGTGTGCATGTGTGTGTGCGTGTGTGTGTGCGTGTGCGTGTGTGTGTGCGTGTGCGTGTGCGTGTGCGTGTGCGTGTGTGTGTGTGTGTGTGTTTTTTTTAAAAATTTCTAAACTGTTACGTAATTATGCCGCGTGCCAGAGGCTTACATCCACCTATTCTTCTACCACAGATAGATCTCATCACCACATGTTCAATAATGCCAGTATGATGTTTGTATGACACTCGTGAATGATATGTCCTCTCTCTTATCTTTCTCTCTACAGGGCCGTCATGTTAAGACCGGCCAGCTCGCTGCAATCAAGGTCATGGATGTCACAGGGGTAAGAGCGCAAGTAGCCACCTCGGTTTCTTGTTTCTCTCCTTGTCGGTTTTACTTTTACACTTTCACTTTTCACTTGTTGCATGATGTCATTTAAACACAAACATGAATGGGTCATGCTTCACCTACTATACATTGCCCATAGGTGTGAATGTGTGTTTGTCTGTGAGCCCTGTGATGGTCTGGCCATCCGTTCAGGGTGTCCCCCAACTGTGGACCAAAACGCTGGGATAGGCTCCATTCCTCCCATGATCCTGCAGAGTTGGGATGTGCATCTCATGACTCAGGCTCGATGCATAGCCAACGATACGATACATTAAAGATACATATGAAGCAGCTACCGATGCGATGCGATACGATTCACCCCTGTTACGATGCAGTGCGATCCCATTTCGATTCGATTCAACACAATGTGATTCTATGCAATGGAAAAAATATGATCACTTCTAATGCCTCAAGGCCTGTTTCATAAGGCTTATTTCAGTTAATCTGACTAATTGTCAAATGATTTGGTTCAATAAAGCAAATTTAACATAGGCCTATCAAGCAAGTCACTGTGGCAACTTATGCTGGGAAACTAAAGCAGGTTAACTGTCAGACTAAGCTGAGTTCCTCTAACACTGACCAATAGGAACGTAATGATATTACCACTGACTCTCTCACATACTATTATTGGACTTATTTTTATTTTTTTTACAGTTTCTAGCCATGCAGTTTCTACAAAAGACACATTTAATGTCCAACAACAAATATTTTAGCAAAATGTTTATTTTACTCCGAATTATTGCGCTCCTATTCGATTGCGCTCAGTCTGTTTAGTGCGCATGTGCGCAGCAGCGCTCGTTCACTCGTGTCAGCCTCGCCCACTCCTGACAGCAAAATGGATATATTTGCGTGACTTTCTAACATTTACACTACAGATGAAGAATATAACTGTGACATGTCAGTTATGCACTGAGGAAAACACAACACGCTCTTGAGAAACAGTTTAGAGAGGAGAAATCAATCTACATATAAAATATTGGTCACCGATAAATCGGTTTTTACTGATGCAAATATGTTAGAAACGATGCATTGCGATACAAATGCCAACTTGTATCCGATGCACACTTTTTAAACCGATGCATCGCATCGTCAACTTTTTATGCCGATGCACCGAGCGAATGGGGGAATCTTCCCATCCCTACTGCAGAGGATAAAGCGGTATGGAAGATGGATGGATGGATGAAACCATGTACCAGGGCTATAACCGCCATAGACTTTGAAAGGCCACTACTAGCCTAGGACACATATCACTCCCTCAATATTCAGATTATTAGTTAACTTTTGTTGTGATTTTCCATGGCTGATTCCTGGACAATGCATCAAGCATTTTGGAATATTTTAATTATGAATATATATTTTTTTTATTTCATTAAGCTAAATATTGGAAAGTTCACTTTTAAAATATTTTATTAATGTTATTAATAGAAAAAAATATGAACATATTAATGATATTAATACACTAATTTTCAAAAATCATGGGGACATTAAGATTTTTATAAATATATTTGAAAGTCTCATGCTCATTAAGTCTGCATTTATTTGTTTAAACATACATTAGAAATGGTTAGTATTAGTAATGTTATTAGTGATGTAAAATATTATAAACATTTAAAATTAGAGTTTTTTTATTTTCTATAATTATATTATAAAACTTTATTTATTCTAATATGCTGATTTGGAGATTAAGAAACTTTTCTTGTTATTATCAATGTAGTTGATATGTAGTTTTTCAAGGAAACAATTTACATTTTTTTTCAGGTTTGTTTGATGTATAGAAAGATTAAATTAACATAATTTATAGGAAATAATGCCTTTAAGGTCACTTTTCCATCCTTGCTGAATAAAAATATTATTTTTGTTAAAAATCTTACTGACCCTTAATTTTTGTACGATAGTGTATATTAAAATTAATATTAATTTAATTTTGGTAACACTTTAGTATAGAGATCAGTTCTCACTATTAACTAATTGCTTATTAGCATCCCTTTTAATAACTTATTGTCTGTTTATTAGTACTTATAAAGCACATATTCTACATGACCATATTCTACATCCCTAATCCTACCCAATGCCTAGCTTAACAACTCCCTTTACTGTTTACTGAAGCAAAAGTCATAGTTAATGATTTATTAATAGTGAGAACTGGACCTTAAAATAAAGTGTGACCTTAATTTTTTATTTACTTAAAGAAACTCAGTATTACCCATTTAAATGTAAAAGTGACAAAAATGCCTGGTATTTAGATTTTGTGTTAAAGTACTTTTTATCATTATTCCTTCGCTCCATCTTTAATGTTTTGTTTGTTTGATTACGCATGTCTTTGTTTAAGGTGTATATTTTTCATTGTATCTGGTGCCTGTTCGTGGTCTTGTTTTTTTTTTCTTCTTTTTTCTTTTTTTTGTGTATAGTATATTTTTTGTATACATTTTGTGAGACTTTAATTTGTTTTATGTTTATATAAAAACTGTTTTAAATAAAATTATTTAAAAATAAATAAAATAAATACTTTTATCATTAGAAAAATGAAAAGTTATATTCATGCCATTTTATAGGTTGGTTCTTTTTCACTAGGACTGTCAAACCATTGCTTTGTTTTTGCTTGTTCTAATCAGCCTGACATCGCAACAGTCTCAACCAGTGGCATTAGTTTAGGGCGGGGCATCTGTTTGGCTGACCAATAACAGATGGATGGAGTGTTTAAGGAAACCTGTTTGAAAACAATTTTACTCCAAATTTTGTTGTTGCTAGTGGCAAAGAGTGATATAACAGTGATATGAATTACTAAGTATAATAAATTAAATATTTATACGGTTAATTATGTACAGTAGTAAATCACACTGTAGAATCGTTACCTGACAATGACTCACTCACAGACAAAGAGACGTGGTATTTTCCTGCTCTGTCTCAAGTGTTGTCTGTTTTATTTGACAGGATGAGGAGGAGGAGATCAAAGCTGAGATCAACATGCTAAAAAAATACTCCCACCATCGAAACATCGCCACCTACTATGGTGCCTTCATCAAGAAGAATCCACCTGGCATGGATGACCAGCTCTGGGTCAGTCTAAATTAGTTGTAGGCAGAAAGAATCAGGGTATTTTAGTGTGTAAATGTATCATTATTAATGTGTGTAATACAATATAGTGTCAGGGAGCTAAAAGTAGTGATGTTTCAAACTTTTTGACTAGCTTGCTAGTAGTTTAGCTGTTTTCATATTGTTACATACTATATATTATTGGTTTTTGTCATGTTATATCCAAGCGGCAACCTTCTGGTCTCTCTCGTGAAACCAACACGGAAGTGACTAAAACCGCAATTCATCGACTGGCCGCTAGAGACTGGCTCCAAAAGGGAGAGCTAGGTCAGCAACCAGCTCCCGCCTCTTTGCTAATTTTTGATTACCAAGATGGCGACAGCCCGCTCCGCCCACTTTGAGCTTCAAAAACACTCTTCAGAAACCTACGGGTGACATCACGAACACTACGTCCATGTTTTTGTACAGTCTATGGTTATATGTCAAATGCAGATTTGCAGCCACATAAAACTAAAGTTTGACTATAGTGTAACTATTTAATAATTTGCTGACTGTTTTACTTTATTTAAGGTCTTTCTTATATTTAATGAGGAAAAATATTTAAGTGTGAAAAATCTAACCTGTGGAGCCTAAGTGACATAATCAGAAAAGTTCAAGATTATGAAGACAATCAATTTTTTCTTTGGAATAAGACACTAATACGCAGTAATACCAGGAATACGCTTAAACATAAGAAGCTACAGCCTCAAAAATAGCTTTCTCAACACTGGTAAGGTAACGCTTTCCAACAGCTGCCCGATTTGTCACAGAAACGCAATGTTCACACTTTGCACAGAGGTGCCTAGGCCTTGTTGTTTTTATCTCTATGCATTGAGCGCAAACTGCCAGCCTCATTTCCTCTGTGGTGAGCTTTGTCACTTTCTTTGCCCAGCAACAGAAAGATAAGTGACATGCTGAAGACATTTACTAGCACTGGATTATGTGGTCAGCACAACCACCCTCCATTGGGCGTCTTTGTAAGAAGGATTTCCCTTAGAGGAAAAACAATGTTGCCAACTCAGCAGTCGTGACTTTGGAGAGTCCCAGAGGCCAAACATATTTTGACCCATCTGAGGGCCAGCTCAAGAGAGCATTCAAAACCAATCAGTGTTTCAGAAAAACCATCATATTATGCTCATAAATTACATTTATTGACTTTTATTGTGCCCCTGGGTTCATTAATGAGAATAAAGCTCTATTTATGAGTGTCTTGGGAGAAAAGGTAAAGCCAAAGAAGTAAAAACACAACTGGGTTTGGAAGTTTGCATGTCACTGCTTTTTACTATAACTCTGTTAAGGCAAAGGTTGGGCTATAGGAAAAAAAAACTGCAAGACATTTTTGAGTCAAATCAGAGAATTATTAGATGGAGGCTTTTCTCTGGAAACAACTATGAAATTCCCTTTTTTAAAACCACTAATGCTTTTTATTGCAACCTTCTATATTGTCATTTCAACTTCTTCAAAGTGGGAAAATTAAGTTGCCCTGTGACAAGTTGTCATTCATAGATCTAGTTTCAGCTGAAAAGTGTGAATTTGCATGTATGTGTGAGTGTCGAATGTTGGATCTAATTAAAATACTGGTTCTGCCACTTTAAACTGTAAGCTGCTGTAGCTAAAAAAAAATAGAAAATTTGTAGACACATGAATCTTTTTTTTTATAAATATTTAATATATATATTTATATATAGCCCTTTAAAAATTTGTATTCAGTAATGTTTTTTTTATAGTTTACTATGCTCATCAAGGCTGCATTTATTTGATTAAAAAAATACAGAAAAAACAGGGATATTGTGAAATATTATTGCAATTTAAAATAACATGTTTTCTGTTTTAATGCACTTAAAAATTTATTTATTCTTGTGATCAAATCTGAATTTTCATCAGCCATTACTCCAGTCTTCAGTGTCACATGATGCTGCTTTGTCTTCAATATTTCACAATATACATTTTTTTCTGTATTTTTTATCAAATAAATGCAGCCCTGATGAGCATAAGAAAGAGTTGATTATTAGCCAGCATTTCAACATCGGGTCCCGTTCACACATGACCTCTAAATGGAAATAATGCAACAAATTCTGTTTGTGCGACAGCACCAATGTAGATCTCCACTAAATGAGATGGGTTTTATCCTAATTTTGTTGACGTGTTGTGTCTGTAGCTGGTGATGGAGTTTTGTGGTGCTGGTTCAGTGACAGACCTGATAAAGAACACCAAAGGAAACTCTCTGAAGGAGGAGTGGACGGCCTACATCTGCAGAGAGATCCTCAGGGTGAGTATGTGTGTAGTGTGGGCCACTAGAAGACATTATTAGCTTCCAGAAGTGTTATTTTTAAAGAGTGTTTCCTCATTTGACCGTCTCTAGTTGAGTTGAACTTCTTCATCTGGTTTTGATAGGGTCTGACCCACTTGCATCAACATAAGGTCATTCATCGTGATATCAAAGGTCAGAACGTTTTGCTCACGGAAAATGCAGAAGTCAAACTAGGTGAGTTCACACCCCTAACTCAAGCTCACTGAAGATAAGTAACTAATTACAAGCAACAGGACAAAACAACTACAATAAATAAATACTACACACATTGTATATAAATTAATCAAAAACACTGCATAGCTTTCACTGTGTAAATTAAATGTCTTATTATTAAAGATAAAAAAGTGATTTAGTCAAGAGCGGTGAGAGATTTTCTCACTTCTCTCTCTTAAGACTTAAATGACTGTGTTTACGTGGATACTTGCAAAGTCGGGCATTTTCATTCATATGACATTCAAAGCCAATAAAGCAACAAAAATACTTACACGCTCCATGAGCAGTGGATTCATGTGTGCAGCCTGCACGCAAAACACAAGACATCACACACAAACATGTAGTTTGCATTTAAACGGCTTAAAATCACTCGTTTTTAAACCACAATGCTTAAAAATGTGTGCAGAGATACATTTCGTGACCACAACTTGAGTGCATGACCGCGATAAAGACGATAGTCCAGAATCTACCGGTTGACAAATTTCTACGGGTTAATCTTGTTTACCGGTATATTGCCCACCCCTAAACAGATCAAATAGTTCATTTTAATTAAATAAATCTGTTTGTGCAGGAAGGTTTAATTTCCAAGAACCTGTTCAAAAACATATTCATCAGAAACTCATGCATTTGTTCTGAAATTGCCACAGGCTATTCACAAGCTCATTGACATATGAAATTATTAGCTTACTTTTGCTTTACTTTACTTTGTCATTTAGCAGACGCTTTTATTCAAAGCGACTTACAAATAAGAAAAAGTAATTAAAACTAAAGCTGAAACTCTAGAAATATATATATATATATATACAGTGGGGAAAAAAAGTATTTAGTCAGCCACCAATTGTGCAAGTTCTCCCACTTAAAAAGATGAGAGAGGCCTGTAATTTTCATCATAGGTATACCTCAACTATGAGAGACAAAATGAGGGAAATAAATCCAGAAAATCACATTGTAGGATTTTTAAAGAATTTATTTGCAAATTATGGTGGAAAATAAGTATTTGGTCAATAATCATCTCAATACTTTGTTATATACCCTTTGTTGGCAATGACAGAGGTCAAACGTTTTCTGTAAGTCTTCACAAGGTTTTCACACACTGTTGCTTTCTTTTTAATTATTTATACAAAAACACACTACTGTTCAGAAATATTTTTATGTTTTTGAAAGAAGTCTTTTATGCTTGCCAAACATATTTATTTGATCAGAAATATTATTGCCATTTTAAAATAACTGTTTTCTATTTAAATATATTTTAAAATGTAATTAATTTCTGTTTGATACAATTACATTTTTAGCAGCCATTAGTATGGTGTTCAGTGTCAAATGAATATGCTGATCTGATGCTCAAGAAACCGTTTTTATTGAAAACAGTTAATTTAATGTGTCCTTGCTGTATTAAATGTTTAATTTTTCTAAAAAAAAAAAAAAAAATTATATGGTAGTGTATTCAATCTTGATGTCACCTCATTTAAGGATCCTCATTGTACTTTTTAAAAATATTATATGAACTAGCTATGTTTTATTCATAACTTGTTGTGTAGATAATCACTTTTTCAGTAAATCATTTTAATTGTAAGAAGCTAGTTCGAGTGTGTCTGTGTGTTTATATTGGTTGATTCTGTCTGTCTTGAGGAACCTGTGACCCTCCTCTGGAGTTATTAGGGCTTGTCATCGAGTTGTTTGAGTTTGGGAGACAGTTCAGGCTGGTTGCTATGACAACACTGCCTGCGGTGACGAGGGTAGAGTGGCACAGAGGCAGATGGCAGCATGCACTTCATCAAAGACCTCTCCTCTTGTTAATGCACGCAGACACATTAAGGCCAAATCTTCCCTGTGTGTGTGTGATTGCGTGTGTTTTCAACAGTTGATTTTGGTGTGAGTGCACAGTTGGACCGTACCGTGGGTAGGAGGAACACTTTTATTGGCACTCCATATTGGATGGCTCCAGAGGTCATAGCCTGTGATGAGAACCCAGACGCCACATATGACTTCAAGGTACTTCAAGCGATTCTTAATTACGCTTTTACAACACCTGATTGCTTTTGTGTGAGGGTCTTGTTTGGCTTCAGGCAGAGATCCTAAAAGCACCGTTTTGTTACAGAGTGATCTGTGGTCGCTGGGAATTACGGCTATTGAGATGGCAGAAGGAGCCCCTCGTAAGTCCAGCACAATGCAGAAATGTATTTTATATGAACACGGGGATTGCTAAACACAAACACCTGTCTGTTTTCTCAGCGCTGTGCGATATGCATCCAATGCGAGCACTTTTCCTCATACCCAGAAACCCAGCGCCTCGTCTCAAGTCCAAGAAGTGGTGAATCAAACCTCTCATTGTATTAAAATTTGCACTAATCTACAACTGATTCAAAATAGGGGGAAATAATCAGTTTGTTGTTCTCTGTAGGTCTAAAAAGTTCCAGTCGTTCATTGAGAGCTGTTTATTGAAGAATCACAACCAGAGACCCAGTACTGAACAGCTCATGAAACATCCCTTCATCAAAGACCTTCCCAACGAGAGACAGGTCCGAATCCAGCTCAAAGACCACATTGACCGGACCAAAAAGAAGAGAGGAGAGAGGGGTGAGTTTTTTAGTTTATGCTGTTTTCTGTTGATGCGTAAACAAAACTTCACCAAACTTTATTTTATTTATTATTATTTTATTATGTATTTTTTTTATTCTTTATTTTATTTTATTTATTTTCTAAATAAATAAATACATTAATAAATTAATAAAAGTATTTATTGAATATTATTTTTAGTAAGAGTTGACTACTATTTTGTAACTTTAAAAACAATTTACTTAAATACTTTTCCTGCAAATTTTTATCAATGGTTTTCAAGTTGCTGTCACAACATTCCTTATCTGAATCTGTCTTTAATCTATTCTATGAAAAAAAGTAATTTAATATGTATTTTATTTATTTTATTTTGTATTTTATTTTTACCTTTTAATGTATTTAATTTTATTCATTGTCTAAATTAATTAATTAATTAATTAAATTATGTATTGTTTATTATTTATTGTTTTGATTGATAGCAATGATAACCAAATAGTAATTATTGAAAACGCAATATTAATGAATATTTTAATAAAAATAATAATTGTAACCGTGTATTTGTTGATGAATAGGAATTTGCCATGAGATTTTTTTAAATTAGAAAAGGGTGAATATTGGTGAAAAATAGAAATAACAGGGAAAATTATTATTTTATTATGTATTTTATTTTTATTTTAGAAATTTATTTTATTTTATTTATTATTAAAATAAATTAAATTATTCATTGAATATTGTTTTTAGTAAGAGTTGACTACTATTTAATAACTTTAAAAAAAAATAACTTATTTTTCTTACAAATTTTTATCAGTTGTTGTTTTGTCACAACAGTCCTTATCTGAATCGGTCTTTAATCTAAAAACCTACATCTTACAATGCTGTGTGTTTTCAGACGAGACCGAATATGAGTACAGTGGAAGTGAAGAGGAGGAGGAAGAGCGAGACATAGGAGAGCCGAGGTACATAGACCTTTTTCCACTCACACACACATGCATGTGGGTATAGTGGAGACCTGATTGACTTAAAGATGATTTAACATCTTCCTTACAGCTCTATCATAAACATCCCTGGGGAATCGACCCTGAGGCGGGACTTCCTGCGTCTACAGTTGGCCAATAAGGAGCGCTCCGAAGCCCTGAGGAGACAACAGCTAGAACAGCAACAGAATGAGGAACACAAGCGCCAACTACTGGCAGAGAGGCAAAAACGCATCGAGGAGCAGAAGGAGCAAAGGAGGAGATTAGAGGAGGTAAGAGGAGACGGATGAGAAACAATTTAAAGACCGTGGATTTGCAGCAATGTTTCTGAAATCTTCTGCACTACAGTGGTGTATTAATATCTTTAAAGCTACATTTTTAATCTAAATATAATTATATAATATTTTATATTGATTTATGTTGTTTAACATTTATTATATTTCATGTTTTTATATTTAAAGCACATTTTTATTTTAATGTATTTTATATTTATATTATATTATTTAAAGCAGGTTTCATTTTATTTTAATACCTTCTAAGCTAAATATTTAATCTAATATTTAATTTACTTTATTTCTAATATTGTTTTAATTTATATGTTTTTATAAATAATTATAAATTATAAATAAAACACATTTTATTTCAAGATGTTTAAAGCTAAATATTTAATCTGAATGTAATATTTTTAATATTGTATTTAATTTATATATTGCTCATAATTATTTATTATAATATATTTTGTATTTATATAATATTATTTAAAGAACATTTTATTTTATTTTATTTTCATAATTGTTTATTATAGTATAGTTTGTATTTATATAATATTATTTAAAGAACATTTTATTTAATTTTATTTTAATATAGCTTTTTTTAAACTCGTTTTCAACTGATTTTGATTTTACATTAAATATCAAGTTATGACCCAACAAATTAACAACGACAACATTAGATGTATGGATAAAAAAAAAAAGTATTTACCATATTACAAAGTAACAGATGAATTTGAGCCAAAAACTTTCACAACCTCTGACATCAACAACAAAAGATTTGCAAAGCATTTTCTTCTGCTTTCATACATGATTATATGCTTAGTTGCATTTTATTGTTTGTATTTAGCATTGTCTTTCCTTGCAACCCTACCAGAACAAACAGACAATATGCTTTGCTATTATTCCGGTCACACTCAGACACACACACACTTCCTGTACTCTATTTAGTGTGTGTAATGGCTCATGAGATGACTGCTGTTTTTAAAGTCCCTGGGAGACACTGAGCTATGATCAGTCCACAGGAAGGTTGCCCAACATCTTGGGAATTCTTCAAACGGGAGACAAAGAAAGACGACGGTCATTGTGCCGGTGGAGATATTCCTGAGTTATGTGATGTAGGGTTTTCTCAGTTGGAGAGGGAGCAGAATAGCTGTGGGGATGAATCAGGCGGGCCGGCTGGGCGTCAGCCTCTCATTTAGCACATCTATCTCCCGCTGGGCCACTGTCAGGAAATTTGCCATTTCAACACACTCTATCAGCACAGCTCCTGTCAACAGCCCCGCCGGGGAAAGGCCATTCAGCATGGCTACTGAAATGCAAAAATTTTTTAAATGTAAAAAATGGTGGTAAAGGAAGGAACTGCATGTTCCATTGTGAAGCTGGGCTGATAGTTGGGCTCAGCACTGAGATTTATTTGTAAGAGTGGGAGGTTCATTAATGAGCACATGTGTTTGTAACCTCACAGCAACAGCGACGGGAGAGAGATCTCCGGAAACAGCAGGAGAGAGAGCAGAGGAGGCGCTATGAGGAGATGGAGCAGCTCCGGAGAGAGGAGGAGAGGAGGCATGCTGAGAGGGAGCAGGTACATATGTACACACAAATGCACATCCACTATCATACATGGCTAATTGTGGTTTTTGGTCACTTTTATTGATAAAGTAGAAAGAGGGCAAGAAGTGATGGAGAGAGTTATTTCAGTACATACTTGTTCGTGCTATTATATACTGGTCTGTCACTACAAAGTAACCCATTATTCACTGTGCAAAAAGAGTGCCAGAAATGACAACTGAACTCATATGAACAGGAAGGGAATAAATGAAGTGACGTGGCGGCTTCACACACTCCACACTAACAGACTCCCACTGATTCACCACTACAGAGATGGAGACAAGATGTGCTTTCTGTTAATACACGGCACATATATTTAGAGATTGGTCACAGGGTTTTTTATATATATATTTTTTTTTGTCATACCTATTATTTCAGTATTCTAGTGTTCAATAACTGATTTATTATGTTTTATTTTTTAGTTTATTTTATAGTATTTTTTATTTTATGTAATACTTTGATTTATGTAATACCAGATTTTACATTAAATATCTAGTTATGACACAACACAGAACCAAAGTTGTTTATCAAAAAAGTCTGTAAATACGATGAAATTAATTAATTAAATTATTAATTAATATTATGAACAACATGCAGCGGTTTTTTGCAAATGTGCAAAATAATTCAAATGTTCAGAACCATTTTTTTCTGCTTTTTGATTGATAGCAATGATAACCATATAATCATTATTGATATGCAATCAATAAAAACACAATATTTGTGAATGGCTTTATACAAATAATAATTGTATCACTATCTTTGTTGATGAACAGTAATTTGCCATGAGAAACAGATTATTTAAATTACAAAAGGGTGAATATTGGTGAAAACCAAAATGAAAAAAACATTGAAAATGTTTTTCGATCAGTCTCTCCATGTAACCATAAATGCAAACATTATCGCTAGGAATATGCCAGGACATATGAACACTTTCTAAAGCAGATGTGTATGAAGAGAGTGTGTATGCATGCGCTCAGTTGTAAATCCTCTGTTAATCATGTGTAATGCGTCGTGCACTTTGTTCTCAACTGTAACTGTCCTCTCAGATATGCATATCAGATTCTCACATGCCACAATCCCTTATTTAAAGCATTCTCTTCAGTCTGTGACTCAGACTTCCTCCAGAGAGGGAAATGTTCTGCTGGATGGTATGCATATTTAAAGCACCCACCCTTTCAAATGGGGTTGGGCCGCACGAGCCCTGCTCAGTAGTGAATGAGGACGTCTCACGGGCCGCGTGTGAGAGTGTGTGCAGAGACAAATAAGTTGAGTGAGTTCTCACTCATGCCAAAAGTTAAGTGATGTTAGCCGTTTAGCTATTCTGAAATGTAATTTGAATTAGACACACCCCTTTTCACAAACCCCACCCCTTTAAAGTTACTGTTGAAACGGTTGTAATCCGAGAGTAGCAGGAGCAGCAACAGCTGCAAATAAAGCTGATCTCACTGTTAGCTTGCTAACCACCATATGGACTGCCCCATAAATTTGCAAGACTTTTGTGCTGCTTTTTGTCTGTTAATCATTTTGCTTATATGATAGATATTTCCTAAGTGTCATTCCATAAAAATGCTTTCAGTGCCTTTAATGCCAAAAAGCACTGCATTTTCTTTCCTGTTATAAAGCATTTCATTGTTTTTTTGCTAATGAAATTGTCCTCAAGGCTCCACAGAGAGACATAATCCAAATAATTCTCTTGCCTTGTTTTCAGTTTGAAGACAAATCTTGTTTAATCCTTTCATAAAGAATGAGACACAGCCTTTCAAAATGTAATGCATCTTGCTAATGGGGCTACCTTTTCTCTTCAGATACCTTCTTTCTGCTTTTGTTTTCTGTACACTGTACACTGCCATAAACCAGTTTTTCTCTATAATTGCACAAGTTTTTCTACGAAGTCCCCAATGCTCCCGAGTCCCCAAGGCTGCATTTACTTGATAAAAAATACTGTAAAAGCAGTGGTAATTCGATATATTACTGCAATTCATAATAACTGTTTTCTATTTGAATACACTTTCAAATATATTTTATTTATGTAAGGGCAAAGCAGAATTTTCAGCATCATCACTTCTGACTTCAGTTTCACATGATATTTCAGAAATCATTCTAATATGCTGAGTTGTTGCTCAAGAAACATTTATTATTATCATCAGCAATGAAAATAGTTGTGCTGCTTAATATTTTTGTGGAAGTTCATTCTTTGATGAATAAAAAGTACAAAAGAACAGCATTTATTGGAAATATAAATCTGTAATTATTTAAGTTATTTTTGATCACCTTAATGTATCCTTGTGAATACATTTTGAATGGTAGTATACATGCATGTTACCACTCTACAGATCTACAGTTGAGGTCAAAAGTTCAGAATCTGTCAAATGTAAATTATTTTACCAAAATAAGAGGGATCATACAAAATGCATGTTATTGTTTATTTAGTAATGACCTGAATAAGATATTTCACATGAAAGATGTTTACATATAATCCACAAAATAAAATAATAGTTGAAGTTATAAATATTACCCTGTTCAAAAATCTACATCCCCTTAATTCTTAATACTGTGTTCTTACCTGAATGTGAATGATCCACAGCTGTTTTTTGTTTAGTGATAGTTGTTCATGAGTCCCTTGTTTGTCCTGAACAGTTAAACTGCCTGCTGTTCTTCAGAAAAATCCTTCAGGTCCCACAAATTCTTTGGTTTTCCAGCATTTTTGTGTATTTGAACCCTTTCCAACAATGACTGTATTATTTTGAGACCCATCTTTTCACACTGAGGACTACTGAGGGACTCATATGCAACTATTACAGAAGGTTCAAACATTCACTGATGCTCCAGAAGGAAAAACCATGCATTAATTGACCTCAACTGTATCTACTTTAAATATCATTTAAAAATAAAAATGATAACTTACTGCAAAAGGCATTATTAGAGGTGATTCCCATTGATATCCCATGGCATTTCATTATGCTGCCATTGTCTAGAAGGCAATAATAGTAAACTTTAGGATTGAATTGGACTCTGTGCTGCACCTATCACACTTTTTGTCATTTTGACAAAATGGTTTTGATCCAAACCAACTTCTAATACTTTTTCTTTGGGGTGACATTTCCCTTGAGTAGTCTGGGGTTAATTGCCCTGCTTCAGGAAATTAGGATGTGGGTCCTAAGTGACTCCCTTGTGCATGGATGGCTAATTCCACGGTTTGAACCAGTGACCTTTGGGTAGTGAGCTCATCACACAGAAGGCCACATGGGATCTAGGCAGGGCAGCAAGTTATTATCAGTGTTTCTTACCTTTAGATTTGCTTGGTTAATCTTTCATTCTTTCATTTTGAAACTCTTTGAAGGCCCTGTTATCTCTTTCCCTTCTCTTTTTCTCACTGTCACTCTGATGCGCTGTGCTATGGGGTTAGGAGTATATCCGCCGGCAGTTAGAAGAAGAACAAAGGCAGCTGGAGATTCTTCAACAGCAGCTTCTCCAAGAGCAAGCTCTTCTCCTGGTAAACTCTAATTTCAACTTTCACCTTTAAAGCTCTTGGACTTCCTTTCTTTTAATCTACTGCACTTATGCCATCTGTCGGTCCCCTCTGCGATCAGTACACTCACAGAGAGTATCGATTGTGTGAATTGATCTCGGGCATTTGGGATTTGTGGCGGCTCTGTTTGTTATTGCTCCGTTCTGAGGGAAATTAGACTCAGGATCCACGGCCATCAGACCATCGATTGGGTTAGTTTATAGAGCTGTTGAGTTTGAAGTTCTTCTGAACTTCTGATAGCATCCAGTTATTTTTAGGAGTCCAAACCCGTTGGCATTATTTGGTCTCATGTGGTTATCTGCTCTGTATGTGCCTCAAATCTTGCTCTTTTCACTACATTCTGGTTCTCTGGTGTGTCTAGGAATACAAACGGAAGCAGCTGGAGGAGCAGAGACAGGCTGAGCGGTTACAGCGGCAGCTGCAGCAGGAAAGGGCCTACCTTGTTTCACTGCAGCAACAGCAACAAGAGCCACGGCCTGCAGACAAAAAACAACTGTACCACTACAAAGACTCCGTCAACCCCAGTGACAAACCGGCCTGGGCCAAAGAGGTACAGAGAGATCTTCTTAAGACTCTTACGTGATTTATACTGTCTAGGGTTGGGTGAAAATACTGATTTTCTGATTAATCACAATCTTCCTTTAAATGATCCCAGTATCAGTTCATAAAATCCTGAATGTGAGTTTAATTAAAAGGCAGTGTACCACTGAAATAATGGCATGAAGTGTCTTTCCTTGAGGGCTGCACGCAAAAAGCCTACAACACAACTCGCATAGTCCGATTCATGAAATAAAAGACTTTTATGAGTTGGTTGTTTTTAATTAATCAGAAACGTACATAAGCATCTCTTATGATTTGGTTCTTTTTAGTGACTCAAAAACTTACAGCACATTAGAAAACCTGATTCACAAAACAAATGGTTCTTACGTGTTGGTTATTTTTAGTGAAACAAAAATATACACCATATTAGTATAGCCTGTAATACTTTATATGTAATCAAAATAAACATTATACCTGAAATAAATCCAAATGAATCCGCATTGAATCAAGAGCTTATGAATCCGAATCGAATTGAATCAGGAATTTGTATTGATACCCAGCCCATTGCTCATTGTCAAGAATCTCCAGCCACTGATTGTAGACATTATATGTCAATTGTCTAATTTGCTCTTGCTAATGGCTTAATTTGATCAAATTCTTCTGGTTTGGTGCCCACATATGATGCATCTCACTTCCTATCAATAACCTTTCCGTTAATTTTCAGATTCCATTGGATGCTTTTTGATTATCACGCTCTGAATCGGCCTCACCGTCCCGTTTTGTGGGTCACAATCTGAACAGTTTTATTGTGCTTATCTGAACACAGGTGATGGAGAGAGCTCAGAGTAACTCCCCTCGAATCCCTCCCAAGAAGCACCATTCGTTTAACAGTCCTGGAGAAAAACGTGTCGGCCAACTCCTCCCTCTTGACAAGAGCTCCTCTAATCAGCCCACGAGGCCCCCCTCCTACCCAGCAGCCTTCCACTCAAGAGAGATAGAGCTGGCCAAGCCTCAGCTCAGGATAGTCAGTGGGCCAAACGTTCCTAGAATCCGTGTGTCTTGCGAGCCAGATCCATCCCAGCTGGTCAGGATGGTCCAGCAGCATCTTGAGCAAGAGTCCCGGGGCCGCAATCCCGGACACTCCAGCAAAGGGACTGATATTGAGAGAGACTTAGACGTCTCAAAGGTCTGCCTCTGTTAGCATGATTATTCGTGTCTCCTTTTTCGCCTGGTCATGGTACATATGCAAAGAATGAATGCAGGAAAAATACCTTTTTTCCGAATTTTCTATCGGGGCATTTGGATAATCTCTTTTGGAATGCCTTGTTTCTGTTTTCCTCTCGGTCTCTGGGTGCGGGTATTTCTGTAGGTTCTGTCTCCCAGTTAGTTTGGTGGATTTTCTTCTGACCGCTTCCGTTCTTGCTGTTGTGTTGCTCTAATGTTCCATAATCTTCTCTTTGAACTTCCCTATCACTCCTCCTTACAGAAAGCTGGTGACAGAGGAGCATGGGATTGCGGGGCAAAAATGAGAGAGGTCTGGATATGTTGGGCCACAAATGAGCTTTAGACTGGTGGTTCTCAACCTATTTGACTCCAAGGCCCACCAAAATATTTCTGATACTTCTACCATAATGACAAATCTGCTCATTTTTTTTATTTACAGAAACTAGGAGTGGCAAAATATGAAAATAATTTACATAATTATAAATAGTTAAATTCCATAATCCCAATATCTGAATGTTCATGGTTTACATCCTTTATTACCAATGAATCTATATGAATTTTCTTGGTAGATACTTTTTTTAATTATTGGTTTACTCACAAAGGCAGTTTCTGCATGATAAAATATTTTAGAGCTTGACAATAAATATATTGTCAGAATAAAAATGTATGACTTAAGATTTCATTAATTTGCATGACTTTTTCTGGTCTAGTAATCATACTTTTAAATACTCATAATAAACATTTTACGTTGCTTATAGTCATACATGCATAAGATCATGAGATATCATTCTTAAAAATGGCAGTTGTTAATTAAACAAATTAAAATAAGAAATATGCTTACATATTGATTGTTAGCAATTTTAAGTAATTCAAAACCTTTTCTTTTTTTTCCATTTTTAATATTTTCAACTCGTCTTGCAGACCACTTGGAAGTTTCCTGAGACCTCCTAGTGGGTCCCGGCAACCTGTTTGAGAACCACTGCTTTAGACATTGATAAAATTACAAAGGGGTGTTGGTAAGGGGTTGTGTTGTTACTTGTAGGCACAGATTGTGCTCTGAAGACAGTGTGTCATTTCAGATCCAAACCTCCCTCCATTCTCAGAGAAGAAATAAACATGGTTTTCTCACTAACGTGTCTTACTGTCCCATTAGTCACCCGACTTCTATGATGGCCATAAGTGATTATTTTCTTGTCTTAAAAAATGCTTGTGAATGGTGCATGACAGTTGAGGCTTGTTGTTTGAATTTGAGATTTCACAGCATCTCCTTTAACGTATTGGACATAATGGACTAAATGTTTTCTTTCTGTCTTTAACCTGATGATATTTAGTTTTCTGTCGTTTGGTTCTATGTTTCGTCTTTGCTTATGGAGTCATTTTGATTGGGTCTGCAGAAGTGAATAAAAGATTATCTTCCATCAAGTTAAGGGAACGGGTCTAAAAATATCTAAAATGTCTCGTAATGAGGCCGTCTCCTTAATTTGAGACAGGCGGGTTTCGGCAAAGATTTAGAAACTCAATCTTGGATGATTATGTGAATGCTAATGATGAATAAGATTGACAGAGAAGCCTACAGGTCTCATCATATTAGCTGTTCTTATTAAAAGGTAAACTAATTGGTTTCTATTTTAAATATATACAATTAACATTTTAATGTTACCTTGGTAAATTAGTATGTTGTGCAACCATTGTGTAGATCCTACAGTGACTCATATCAGCCACTTTACACATTTCGCAGTCCGTTCTGACTCTCAAGCAAAGAGGAAACAGACTGGTTGTGAAGAGCAGCATGGACACTAACTTCCTCTCTGTCTGTCAGGTTGAGGAACGCTCCAAGCTGAACCGCCAGAGCTCTCCGGCTCTCCAGCACAAAGTGGCCAACCGTATTTCCGACCCCTCCCTGCCTCCCCGCTCAGAGTCCTTCACCAGTGGAGGCATACAGCAGGCCCGGACGCCTCCCATGCACCGCCCGGTAGAGCCTCAGGTACTTCCTGACCTGTTTTTAGAGAGACCGATGTGTTGTGAAGAACACTGACCCCAGAGTACTCCTTTCAGATGGCGCACCTGGTCTCTGTGAAGTCCCATGGCTCTTCCATGACAGGATCCCAGTCGCTGCATGATCAGTCCTCTCAGGGCGTCTCAGCCTTCCAAGAGGGTCTGTCGCCTCACCGACCACCGATGCCTCGGCAGAACTCTGACCCCACGTCAGAAACCCCCGCCCCACCACCTCGCATTACCAGCCGAGATGAGAAGTTTGACCGTAGCTCTTGGCTGAGACAGGAAGATGACGTCCCTCCAAAGGTGATAATCTGGGATGAAATGCGTTGTTGCTGTAATCCAGTGACATTAATTGTAATTCATGTGGAATTCTCAACAGGTGGATCACAAGTCTTTTCTGACTGAGTCTCAGAAAGCAGTGAAAAAACGTTGCTAAATATAAATAATATTATATTTAACTGACTGTATAGTCAAGCATAGTTAAAGGGATAGTTCACCCAAAAATGGAAATTCTGTCATTGAATAAAGTCGTGGGTTTTTTTGTTTTCTTTGCACACAAAATGTATTCTCGTAGCTTCATAACAATAAGGTTGAACCACTGATGTCACATGGACTAATTTAATGAGGTCACTCTTTACTACCTTTCTGGGCCTTGAACGTGTCAGTTGCGTTGCTGTCTATGCAGGGTCAGAAAGCTCTTGGATTTCATCAAAAATATCTTAATTTGTGTTCCGAAGATGAAAGAAGGTCTTACGGGTTTCGAACAACATGAGGGTTAGTAATTAATGACAGAATTTTCATTTTTGGGTGAACTAACCCTTTAAACCTGTAAATATAACTACACAAAATATAGGAAATGACTCGTACTACATTAAATAGGGTTTCAGTGAAAACCAAAATAAATATGGTTTGAGCCTTTTGTATTGTTTTATGCCATAAATTATTTTATTTACTTATTTTACTTTGGGTCATATTCATTCATCTCATTTAAATAATTATTAGCACAACTTAGGCAGTTTAGTTTCATTATCATTATTTATTTGAAAGACTTTTAGTACTTTTATTTTTATTTATTTTAGTACTTTAATACTTAATGTCAAGTTAAATCAGTTTTAAAAAATTGTAAAAGTTAAAGAGGTTTCACTAAATCACTAAATGTGATTATATAAGATAACAAATCCTATATTTAAAGGGTTCATATGTTGCTAAAAAGAACATTATTTTGTGTATTTGTTGTAATGAAATGTGTTTATGCGGTTTAAGGTTAAAAAAACATTATTTTCCACATACTGTACATTATTGTTTCTCCTCTATGCCCCGCCTTTCTGAGACTCGTCGATTTTTACAAAGCTCATCGGTTTGAAAAGCGAGGTGTGCTCTGATTGGCCAGCTATCCAGTGCGTTGTGATTGGCCGAATACTTCAAGTGTGTGACGGAAATGTTACGCCACTTACTATACTGTGATGCCCTGTCAGGCCGGAGCGACGATTCAAAATCATTAAAACCCATTATAAACCAGGTATTTGTTGCATCCAGTGGGGACATAATTGTGGATTATAATGACTTATACGGTCTTTTTATGCGTTGCATCGCGCCGCACCGTATAAACATAAAACCATGTCTGCATTTGTGATAGGAGAAATGACAAACAACAAGCGCTACTCTACTCTGCTCAAAACTCGCGTTTCAATTATCAGTGGCAAATTCTTTAAATATGAAAACGTACTTACAGTCTGTGAGTCAGAACAGCCGGCATTGTAGTCTACTCTCCCAGGATCAGGAAACAGTCCTCCATAAAATGCGCAGCACACATCTGAATATTTGGGTTGAACTGTTCTGGAACAGTGTTGTAAATACAACTTAACCACTGATTTCTAGTCATGTCCTCTTTTGGAAGGCCAAACAAAGTAGTTTCGCTTTCACAACGAAACTTACAGCATCTTCACAACATGGCGGTGGCGGTGGCAGCAGCAATAAAGTTACGCCTTCTTTCTTTGCGTGAACATTTGGGCAGCATTATGCAAATCTTCCCACATCGTGACGTAGACATGTGGGGGCGTGTTTAAACGAGGCTTTTTAGGAGGGCGTGGATGAGTCTTAACTTTTATAAAGAATATCTCTTTGGATTTGAGACTTTAGTCTTTGCAACTTTAGGGATCTTATCTATTCACGAACAACTTGTAACACGCCAAAGAGAAAGTAAACATGAAATCTCATCATATGACCCCTTTAAAAAACAGTTTTTCTAAAGTTCATCTTAGTAAAGTAACGTATTACCATATGTTAACATGCTTCAGGTGCCCCAAAGGACCACTTCCATATCCCCTGCACTGGTGAGAAAAAATTCTCCAGGGAATGGACCGGGAGGACTGGGACCGAGAACTGGAGCACATCTGATCCGAGCCAGGTATATTCCACTTTTCATTAACTTCTATCTTTCTTTTAAACTCATTTTACACATTTTATTGCAGATCAAGCTTGCCCTTGTGAATACTATGTTTTGTAAATAATTAAAACATTTAAATAATTAGAAATAATTATTAAATTATCCCAATAGGTCCAACTACAATTGGAGTTTACAATACCAATGATTTTTTTTTTTTTTTTAATTTTCTTTGTAATTGCATGTTTTTATTTATCTATTACTCACAAACAGCATTTTCTGTCAGTATCCCGACGAAAAAATATGTGAATAAATAAATGATTTTTCCTGAGACTTGCACCTGTTTATCTCTATACTTTTGCTTTACTTTTGTCAAAAGTTGAATTCAGTTTGAATGTGGCTTGTTTGAATGTGTCCTACCATTGGCACAGTAACCCAGACCTGCGGATTTCCATGGAGTCGGCTCTCCAGAGAACCAGCAGTGGTAGTTCTTCCAGTTCTAGCACGCCTAGTTCTCAGGGTGGCTCCAGCGAGAGGAACCTGGTGGGAGGTGAGAGACCCTCTGGAATATTCTCTCAGTCTGAGCACCTGCACTAGGGAGTCTTGACGTTCAATTGTCTCCACAGGCTCCAGTAAACCTGAGGGATCCCCAGCAGTGTCCCAAGAATCCAAGCCCAAAACCCAGGAGGAGAACAGGGAGGTGACCAGACCCAGCCGACCAGCGGTGAGAAACCCATTTCCCAGAATCCACAGTTTAACTGTGCTGCAAATGTTTGTGCTTTCACAGGACTGCTTTCTGAGACCAAGATAAGCCTTAAATGAAAACATCTAAGCCTGAAATAACTTCTTTTCAAGATTTCTTAAAACAGCTTCTTTCCAAACATGATGTTTTTACCATCAATTAAATACCCCATTAAATCAGAAATACAGTTTTGTTGCTTTCAGTCAATACTTTTTAGCTTTTAAATCACCTATATGCTAGATGTGTTTTATAAAAGGCATTAAATATTCCTCACCCAAACAGGAAGTACGTCAACACAGTGATTTTATGGGATCTTTATTAATATATCACTCGTAAATCAAGTCTCATTTGAGCTAACCTACTCATAACCTTTCCATAACCTTTAGCTAGCTTAGATATGTATCTGTTCGCACTTGGCTCAAAGTTGAAAAGATTGTGTGCCGCTTTGTGTTACTAACCATTTTCTCATTTAACATTGTCTAATCTGCTCAATTGTTCTTCCACGCGTGGTTCTCTATGGTCGATTCTCTTTCTCCAGAGTTATAAGAAAGCCGTAGATGAGGTTAGTGACATCTGCTCACTTCATCTCTCTCTGCCCATATTCGTGCTCCTTACATTCAAGCACTCGTTCGCTGTCTGTCTCATCTATTTCTGTCACACGCCCTCTCATGTCTTCAATCGTTCTCTCATCAATATTTCACACCATCTCTCATTCCTTAACTCCCCTCCAATCTTTGTGTCTGTCGCTCTCTTTCACAGCTTCAGACGCTGTGTCAGTCACCATCATTAGCTGCACATTTCTCCATCGCACCAATTTGTCACAGTTCACAGTGTCAGTAATCCTTGACACCTTCTCAGAGTTTTCACTGTTACCTAGGCTACATCTGTCTTAGGCCACAAAAAAGGGATTTTTTGTTTTGTTTAGAAGTAATGTTACATTTAGGGGTAAAAGAAGGGACCGGAAATTGTAGCTCTTTTTTAAAGGGATAGTTCACCCAACTAAGTGAAACGGATGATAAAGAAAACACGTGTGCAACAGTATATTGGATCCGGGCAGCTCTTAAAGTGACAGCAGTTTAATATTCCTGCTGTCTATCATTCATGTTAATCAAACAGCAAAAGAGAGAAAATCTCTCACTGCTCTCAACTAAATCACTTTTGTAACTTTAACAGGAAGAAATATATATTTAATTTACACCGTAAAGAATATGCAGTGTTTTTATACATTTGATTACTTTATACAATGTGTGTAGCATTTTTAATTTGTTCTACTCTAGTTTTTCGTCCTATTGTTTGTAATTAATTTCTTATGTAATCGCGGACAGTTTATTTGTCTTCAGTGAGCTTGAGTTTGGTTTTTTGTTTTAATTTAGGCTAGTATTAGTTTTTTGTGATATTGATGCTGGTGACAAACATTATTTTGATGATATCAAATATATTGATATCATAAAGACCTTATTTAAAGCAAAAACAACCATATCATGATATATATATTTTACCGTGAAATAAAATTACTCATATTGTGATGGAAGATTTTGGTCATATCGCCCACCTCTATTGTGAACTATAACTAATTTCAACTCAAAAAGTAAAATTGTGTTCGCCAACCATTTCAAGGGGTCTTTAAAATGTCTTATAGAAAGGTTCATTATTTATTAGAAGTCTTTTTTTTGCTCTATTCTCCCAACAGGCCTTCTGCTGGCCAGGGTGGCACCGACTCACTGGTCAACCAGGAGGATTCTTATGCCAATGATTCATTTGGCAAAAATTCACAAGACGGCACCCTGATGATGCGAGAGGTAGGTGCACCTACCTAGACAGGTTCCTTTCCCGGATGGCAAAAACTCCTACACTCATTCCTCTAGTGTGTCACAGTTTTATTTCTCTTTAAGTTTACCAACTCATGTTTATTTTTGCCTTGGTTAAGCCTTAATTTTATTGGGTTATATTTTGGTGTTTCTTTCACATCTTTTGCTTCTGAATTCTCCAACAAAATCTCTGATCAAGCTCGCCTCACACTTGCTGACAGAGGCACGCTCTGTGCGTTTCCCAAATATCTCTGCAAGATGGCTTAGCCATGCAAGGGGCCTGCAGTAGTGTAGCCCTACTCCTCTTTCTGTTCCTCTCTGCAGACGTTTTGGGAAAGCAAGCTCGGTCATGCCGAGAGCAATGGTTTCCCCTGTAACTCCAATCTGCCTGATCTAGTGCAGCAAAGCCACTCGCCTGGCGAGGGCCCTGGGCGGCTTTCTAGTGGGCTGGACCTGGACTCTGTGGCTGAAGTAGGTGATAGACAAGCCTGTTAGAGCCACCCTGTACTCCAACCCTCAAATTTCTAACCTGACACATCTAATCCATTCCTATTCGATTCAGATGCACATGTTTATCTGGCTGTAGATGCACAGAAGCCCAGATCGCTTCATAACTCGCATTGCTTTTCTTGGTTTTACTTCTTTTCTGTTTGGTTCTTATTTGTTCTCCTTATTTCATTTACTATCATTTAGAGCTTATTTTTTTAAGGAAACAGTGAAACATGTGGGACCGCAGTCAGTCAATAAGATGCTTTCTCCCCTTTGCCTCATTTTCCCTTCTCTTATGTGCCTTGATTTTGTGCTCTCACTGCAAAAAAAGAAGATAAATTAATAATCAGTATTTTTCTTATTTTTTGTGAAAAAAAAAAATCAAAACATCCTTTTAACAAGATTAATTCATTAAAAAATGTGTAACATATACATTTAAAAGTTTGGGGTCAGTAATATTATTTTTTAATCTCATGCTAACCAAGGCTGCATTTATTTGATAAATAAATGAAAATTTTACAAATGAAAAAATAAATTTTACAGACCCCAAACTTTTGAACAGTAGTTACATTTTGAAATAAATTAATAAGAAAAAATTTCATGCATGTATATACTGGAAAACAAGACAAAATACTGATTGCAAAAAAAGACTTTGAAGTGCTTGCTTTTCCTGCTAACATGTTACAATCAATGGACTGTTCTAACTGCGGACAAAACTCTGCACGTTGCAGTTAGTACTAGAAATGCTTGCATTTGCTGCCTACAATCAGTCATTAGAAGACACCATTTGTATGTTTTGTGGATGCTTGTTTCTCACTCCTGATTCTCCACGTTGACAGTTTGGGATGGGGAGTGGGTCCAAAGCCTCCTTCACTCCTTTTGTGGACCCACGAGTGTATCAGACCTCCCCCACAGAGGATGATGAGGACAACCCTGCCTCAGGTGTCTAATTTACTTCTTATCCCCTTTTCTGTTGAAAAAGTGCCAGTGCTGGTGCCTTTCTCCACAGTAGAAATGCTCAGATTAGGCACTGACTCTGGCATTAACACACTGTTGGTGGAAAAGGGTACTAATGTTTAGCTTGCTTAATATGATGATAAACTGCAAAGAATATTTTTGACTTTTTGTTTGGTCACACAGCTCATTTTACAGATGAACTCCTACGGCAGGAACAGGAACAAGCTCGACTAAATGAGGCTCGGAAAATATCTGTTGTTAATGTCAATCCCACCAATATCAGGCCACACAGTGACACACCGGAAATCCGCAAGTACAAGAAGCGTTTCAACTCTGAGATCCTGTGTGCGGCACTATGGGGTGAGTCTAAACTTTTTCTGACTTTGTACTCAATGACTGTTAGAATATTTTCTTTGTGTCTATATTGCTTGTGTGGATATACAAAACTACTTGTTATATGTAAAGCGACCTTGAGCTACAGAAAGGCGCTATATAAATAAAAATAAACTTCTTCAAATGAAAGTGGCATAAAGGCCTTCATATCACTTCAGATCCATATTATAAACTACAAATCGTTTTTACATTTACGTTTGTTTGCTGTAGGAGTGAATCTGTTGGTAGGAACAGAAAATGGGCTCATGTTACTAGATCGCAGTGGTCAGGGCAAAGTCTACAATCTGATCAACCGCAGGCGCTTTCAGCAGATGGAAGTTCTGGAGGGTCTCAATGTCCTGGTCACCATATCAGGTGAGTTCATCAGCAGCTCACTAGTTGTCTGTACAAAGATCTGTTTTATATTGTTGGTTTTGTTAGATCTGTGTATTATCTGTTTGTAATGAATGGTTCATACTTAATACTTACATTCCTCTTTTTTTTGTTTTTTTTTAGGCAAAAAAAATAAACTGAGGGTCTACTATCTGTCATGGCTTAGAAACAGGATACTTCACAATGACCCTGAGGTAGAAAAAAAACAAGGGTGGATTACCGTTGGTGACCTAGAGGGATGTGTCCATTATAAAGTCGGTATGTCCTTTGGTCTATTTTCCCGAATAATTGTTTTAATACCTGAATAACTACAGAAAAAAAATATCAAAATATATAGTGACTAATGGGTTTTCATTTACTTATTAATAAAGTAAAAAAACTGTAAACAGTTAAATATCAAATAAATATCATATATAACCATATTTGTGAAATGTGTGCATATGTATGTTTTTTTTTTTACTTATTTTTTATTACAAATATCTATTAGGGGTGGGGGAAAAATCAACACAGCATAGTATCATGATATTTTCCGTGGCAATACTGTATCGATACACGGACGCCAAGTATCGATCTTTTATTATACTATTTGGTAGAATAATAAAATCAATTTCTTTACAGCCCACTAGATGGTGGTGTTGAGTTTTTTCTGGCGAGGTCAGCTGGGTCACCTTCTGCATGCAGTAAGTTAGGAAAAATAAAGATGGCAGCATCACAGAAAGTTATCAGGAAAGCCCCGTCCACGTTTAAATTGAATGTAAGACTATGTTTTATTTATTTTAAATTTAACAGTAATTTACTTTCAAATGCCCCAATTTGTCTGTGTGTTTCGTGGTAAAAGCGAAACTACTTTGTTTGGTCTTCCAAAAGAGGACACAACTAGAAATCAGTGGTTATGTTGTATTTAGAACACCGTTCCAGAACAGTTCAACCCAAATATTCAGATGTGTGCAGCACATTTTTTACGGAGGACTGTTTCCTGAACCCGGGAGAGTAGACTAGAATGCAGTCTGTGCACAAAGGCTGTTTCTATAGTATAAGTGGGGCAATTCCAACTTTGCAAGGACAGTCTGGCGCTTCTGACTCGTAGCCTGTAAGTACGTTTTCATATTTAAAGAATTTGCCACTGATGATTCAAACGCAAGTTTTGAGCAGTGTAGAGTAGCGCTTGTTTGTCGTTTCTCCGATCACAAATGCAGACATGGTTTTATGTTTACGCTGCGCGATACGCAACGCAACACGTAAAAAGACAGTATGCCTCGTTTGTAATGGATTTTATTGGTGTTGTCATATTGCGCCGGGACACGGCATCACAGTATGGCAAGGGGCGTAACATTTTCAGTCACACGCTTGAGGTATTAGGGCAATCACAACGCACTAGATAGCTAACCAATCAGCGTACACCTCGCTTTTCAGAACAATGAGCTTTGTAAAAATCGACGCATTTCGGAAAGGCGGGGCATAGAGGAGCAACAATAATGTACAGTATGTGGAAAATAATGTGTTTTTTTAGCCTTAAACCGTATAAACACATTGCATTACACCAAAACTATGCTTTGCATTACACAATGTTCTTTTTAGCAACGTCATATGACCCCCATTTAAAGGTGCAATAGGTGATTGTCTTCAGAAACATTTTTGCTGGTTGCTGGTTGAAAGTCTCTCCACATCCCGATAGTAATCATTATGTTAAGTGGTCTAAATGTATTTATATGCCACAGCCATATCACCCTGCAGCCCAAGACTGGTCACCCACTGAAGCTAAGCAGGGTTGAGCCTGGTCAGTACCTGGATGGGAGACCTCCTGGGAAAACTAGGTTGCTGTTGGAAGAGGTGTTAATGAGGCCAGCAGGGGGTGCTCACCCTGTGGTCTGTGTGGGTCCTAACGCCCCAGTATAGTGATGGGGACACTTTATTGTCAAAAAAGCACCGTCTTTCGGATGAGACATTAAACCGAGGTCCTGACTCTCTGTGGTCATTAAAAATCCCATGGCACTTCTCGTAAAGAGTAGGGGTGTAACCCCGGTGTCCTGGCCAAATTCCCTCCACTGGCCCTCAATCATGGCCTCCTAATAATCCCCATCCACTTGATTGGCTCTATGACTCTCTCTCCTCTCCACCTGTAACTGGTGTGTGGCGAGCGCACTGGCACTGTTGTCCTGTGGCTGCCATCGCATCATCCAAGTGGATGCTGCACACTGGTGGTGGTTGAGGAGAGACCCCCC